TCTCACAGCAACACATAAGCCACCACAGGATGACAAACTGCCAGACAAGTTCATCTCCCTTAGTTGTTCCTAATCCTCTGCATTTGCCTACCTCAGGCCTTAATATAGAGCCATAGCCAAGTGAAAACAGCCTCCAAGCCCAGGGCCTGCCTACCTCAGGCCCTGGCCTTAATAAAGAACCACACACAAGTGAAAAGCAATCTCCAAGCCCCAGGCCTGCCTACCTTAGGCCCTGGCCTTAATATATGTTGTTGTTGTTGTTAATGTGCCATCGAGTCGCCCCGACTCATAGCAACCCCTCCTAGGGTTTCCGAGGCAGTATCACTACAGAAGTAGGATTGCCCAACCTTCCTTCTGAAGAGTGGCTGGTGGGTTTGGACTGCCAGCCTTCTGGTTAGCAGTCAAGTGCTTTAGGCACTATGCTACCAGAGCTCTTGCCTTAATATATAGCCACCCCTAAGTGAAAAGCAGCCTCCAAATCCCTTACCCGTCTGCCTCAGGTCCCAGCCTTTATAAAGAGCCACAACCAAGTGAAAAGCAGCCTCCAAACCCCCGGTCATGCCTACCTCAGGCCAGCCTTACTAGAGAGCCACACCCAAGTGAAAAGCAGCCTCCAAGCCCCTTGTGCATGTACCTCAGTTCCTGGCCTTACTATTGAGCCACACCCAAGTGAAAAGTAACCTCCAAGCCCCGTAAAGATTTACCACCTTGGAAACCCAATGGAGGTTGCTATGTGTCAGAATCGGCTTAATGCCAGTTTTTTTTTTTTTTTTTTTTTAGCTATTACAAACACTCCTGGTAACTTCATTCTCCCCCTTATTCAATTTAATCTATTTTTTAGTTATGCATTTATGCAATTTCATTTGTTTATTATTTATCTCTTCCATTAGGCAAGTGGTTCTCAACCCTGGCTGCATTTTAGAAGCATCAAGGGAGCTGTTTTTTTGTTTTGTTTTTTTAAATAACGATATAGAAGCGCCACCCTAATCAATTGAATTGCTGGGGATGGAGCTCAGCACCTACATTCAGGTGATTCTGATGTACACTGTAAATTGTGTACTGCTACATTAGAGTATAAGCTCCTGGAGGACAAGAATCATCTCCTTTTGCTCACTGCTATACACATCAAAGGTCCCTGGGTGGAACAAACGTTTTGTGCTCAGCTACTAACATAAAGGTTGATGGTTTGAACCAACTCAGGGGTGTCACAAAAGAAAGCCTTGGCAATCTGCTTCTGTAAACATTACAGCCAAGAATACCTTATGGAGAAGTTCTACTCTGTAACACATGAGGTCAGGGGTGCCATGGGGTAGGATTGACTTGATGGCAGTGGGCTTTTTTCTTTTTGGCTTTTGCATACACCCACTAGCCAGCATAGTGCCTAGTCTATACTAAGTCTTCAAATTTATTTATTGAATTATACTGAATAGATGATATTGAAATTTTTGCTCTAATTTTTGCTTTATTGTGGTTCTTTACATTCCCTCCTTCTGTGGGCACAGTTCTTCCTTTCTGCTTTAATTCTTCTACCTGAACACCTGTTCAGGTAATTCTTCTACCTGAACACCTGTTCAGGTAATTCTTCTACCTGTTAATTCTTCTACCTGAACACCTGTTTCCTCTTTCACTTTGTTCACCCATATTCATCCATTGAGACTTAGGTTGGACATCATCTTCTCCAGGAAATCTTGCCAGTACCTCCAGAAGGACAAGTGACCCTATTCTGTTGTCCTATAGTACCCTGTACTTATTTCTACCACAGTTCTTAACTCTTTACTTATAAGTTCTTAACTTATATAACTCTTGAGTTATATAAGTACTTCACCACCAAGGTTGTTGATCATCTCTCATTTCTTTGAACTTCTTATCTTCCTCTATTTTTAATTTTGATTCTTGACTCCACCATTGATTTAGTCCTTCAAGATATAAAATCTAGGGTCATCATTCCTTCTCTCCACCCTAAGTTAATAATCAGAGATATGCAAAAATATTTTATAAGGGAATATTCGGTTTAGAGTTATTTATAATTATTATCATAGCAAACATTTGGAAATGATCTAAATGTCCAACAATAGGGAGTTGGTATGGCATGTCCATCTACAAGAATATTATGCAGCTTAAAAACTCAGGTTGTAGAAGAATACATAACAATATGTAAAAGATTTGTATGACATATTGTTACATGACAAAACAAGCTTCAAAACACACACATATATTTATAGATATGATGCCAATTCTATAAAACAAGCTATATATGTCCATCAATCCATATAAAAATATAAGACAACATATATTAATGGTGATTATTTCTGGGTGGTGGAATTTTTGTCTTTGTGATTTTATGCATTTTCCTTTTTAAAAATAATGTATCTATATTGCTTTTGTAATCATCAGAAGCATAGTAAAGTTTTATAAAATGTGGCACTGATTATTTACAAACAGGGTAAGCCAAACAGAGCTAACTGGTGGTTTGCTGAAGACATGAGAAGAGCAGAACCACCTTTTGCTTCTGTCACTTTTTTCTCTGCTCCAAATATTTGGAATTAATGAGGTATGACAACTAATACACAGAGCAGTTTTTCAGACTACTAGTGTCACATAACCTAAGTAATGAAATCTACATTGTCTTGTTTCATTTTCATTTCGAGAGCACATTACTGTTATACAGAACTGTATATCATAATTATTTTTATATCATGGAATTCACCCCAGACAAGTTTTATTGAAACTATACTCTTGACCTATGTTTGAACTCCTTTTCAACGTATTTACTAGTTTTGCATTTGAAAGATAGCATGTACTTACTTTTTTGCAGACAAAATCACCAGGTAGATAGACAGTGGATTTCAATCTTAGCAACATGTCATAAATCATCTGCATATCACAACCCTACATAAAGAAAAAGAATTTGTTTAGACACATCCAAAAGACCAGTACTATTAATGATTTTTAAATGCACAGGAAGTAAAAAGTAAAAGGCATTATCTATGCTCGAACTAGACTATTAATGGAAATAGAGTCTTTTTGGGGCCAAAATTTAAAGGAAAAAAATATAGTACTGTGACAAGAATTTGTTTACTGGCTAAATAGATGTGGGTTTGAATCCTGGTTGCACTACTTAATGCTATGTAACTTCTTATGCCCTCACATGTAAAATAACATGAGGATAAAATTGGTCTTTATACCATATTGGTAAAGTTAAGCATTGCCATTGGGTCAATTCTGAATCATAGCGACTCTGTAGGTCTGAGTAGAGCTGTCCGTAGGGTTTCCAAATCTATACATATTCACAGAAGCAGACCGCACAACTTTCTACTGAAGAATGACTGGTGACTTGGAGCAGCCACTTTTGGTTAGCAGCCCAGTGTGCCACCAGGACTCATATATAAGATGTAAACTCAAAAAACCAAAAATCACTGTCAACGAGTTGATTCTGACTCGTAGTGACTCCCATTGGGTTTCCAAGGCTGTAAATCTTTACAGAAGTAGACTTCCCCATCTTCCTTGCACACAGTGGCTGGTGGGTTTGAAACGCTGACCTTCTTCTAGTTAGCAGCCAAATGCCTTACCAGCTACACCACCAGAGCTCCTTAAATAAGATATAATTGATCTTTATTATCTGGAGATTCCATATTTAGAATTCACATACTAGCTAAAATTTATTTGTAACCCCAAAATCACTATTTGCAGCACTTTCACAGTCATTTGAGGACATGCACAAAACAGCAAAAATTGGAGTAGCCTGATGTACATTTTCCCAGCTATGGTAGAGCAAGGTGATGCCTGTCTTCTTGTTTCACCTCTTACACTGTACAAAAGGGTCCTTGTCATGGTTTATTTAGTGTCATGTTCTTTGCATTTTTGTACTTTTTGGTGATTTCACTGTTTAAAATGGCCCACGAGCATAGTGCTGACATGTTGTCTAGTGTTCTGAAGTGCGACAAGACTCTGATGTGTGCTATGAAGAAAATGTATATTAGAAAAACTTCCTTCAGGTACTGTTAGCTGTGAATTCAGTGTTAATGAACCAATAATATATTTTAAATAAGATGTCTTTAAGCAGAAACACACATAAAACACAGTTGTACTGACTGGTTGATGAAAATGCTGTGATACCTAATCCTGCATTTCCCTTCGGAGCAATGGTTCAGTATCTGCCAGCTCAGTGTTTGTAACTTTATAGACCGTGCTATTATGAATAATGAGAATTGACTGTAATGCTAAATATAACATAATAATAGTGTTACATTATTACAGTTAAGTGTAGTATAGGCTATTAGGACTGACTTATATAGAAATCTTTGCTTAATATTTTCTCTCTTACAATATCTTTTATACCATTGTTATGTATCATTATTAACTTTACAAGTCTGTATGTCCTTCTTTCTCAACTCAATTACCATCTTTCTAAAGGAAGGAAAAAAGAAAAAGAAGCCAAAAAAACAACCAAACTCACTGCCATCGAGTCGATTGGACTCACAGAGACCTCTCTTTGGGTTTCCGAGGCAGTATCTCTACAGAATTAGATTGCCCAGTCTTCCTTCTGAGGAGTGGCTGGTGGGTTTGAACCACCAGCCTTCTGGTTAGCAGTCAAATGCCTTAAATACTATGCCACCAGCACTCCCTCCTAAAGGAAGAGGAAATGTATATAGAAGTTATACAAGCAATATCTGGTGAGCAAATGACAGTCCTAATCAACTATTTAAAAATAATTTCTTTTACTTTTGTTGTTGTTGAGAATATATACAGCAGAACATACAGCAATTCAGTGATTCCTTCCTGTACAGTTCAGTGATATTCTTTGAGTTGTGCAACCATTCTCACCCTCCTTTTCCAAGTTGTTCCTCCGCCATTAAAATAAACTCACTGTCCCCTTAGCTTTCTATCTAATCTTTTGAATTAATCTTGTCAATCTGATCCCATATAGTTTTTTTTTAATTTAATTGTGATTTGAATGAGTTTACAGAGTAAATTGGTTTTCCATTAAACAATTCATATACATTTTGTTTTGTGACATTCATTGCAATCCCAACAATGTAAAGGCACACAAAAAAGTCCAACTTTTTTCTTCTTCTTCACAGAGAAAAGGCCAAGGTTAGCAGGAAGGCTTTCTTAATACAGTCCAAGAACTATTGATGATATGCTACTATGAGCAAGGCTTTGCAACAGGCCCTGGGAGAAATCAAAGATGAAAGAGAGCAAGCTTAGTTGGGATGATTCCGTAAGTAAAGAGAAAAACTGTAATTTATGCTAGAAGGCGATCATGTTGTAAGACATTGCCAGATAAATATCCACAAGACTTTTAAGACAAGTAGGCTTAGTTCTTCCTGAGAATGGAGAGGGGAGAAAAGCAAAGCATAGGAAAGTGTTCATAGTTCTGTGGGTATGGGAATGCGAGTTATTTGAGTATGGGTATGATTTGTATTTCCAAAGATGCATAAAGGTTCTTTTGTCGTTGTTGTTGTTGTTATGTGCCATCAAGTCGGACTCGACTCATAGCAACCCCTCCTTGGGTTTCTGAGGCGGTATCACTACAGAAGTAGATTGCCCAACTTTCCTTCCGAGGAGTTGCTGGTGGATTTGAACCGCCAGCCTTCTGGTTAGCAGTCAAGTGCCTTAGGCACTACGCTACCAGAGCTCCTTTTAGGTAGAGGGAATTTACTTTGTCTTTCCTTGTTTTATGCTTTTTACTTTTCACCAAACCCAAAAAGCCAAACATACTGCCTCTGAGTCAATTCTGATTCATAGCAACCCCCATTGGGTTTCTGAGGCGGTAAACCTTTGCAGAAGGAGATTGCCTCATCTTCCTTTAGCAGAGCAGCTGGTGGGTTTGAACTGCCAACCTGGTTAGCAGTCAAATGCCTTAGGCACTGGGCCACCAGAGCTCCTTAATTTGCACAGAAGTATGTAATTTTTATTTGTATTTACTTATTTATCTCTGGTAGTGTAGTACCTAAGGCACTTGACTGCTAAGCAGAAGGCTGGCGGTTCAAAACACCAGCAACTCCTCAGAAGGAAGGTTGGGCAATCTACTTCCATAGTGATACCGCCTCAGAAACCCAAGGAGGGGTCTCTATGAGTCGGGTCAGACTCTACGGCACATAACAAAAACATTTATTCTTACCATGTCTTTTGAGTTAACATATTTGCTAAAGAAAACCACTGAGAAATTTACATTTTTTCCCCTAAAATATGTAGTTATTTTGTTCTTGGTAAAAATTCTCTAATAAATAGTTTATATAACTAATTTCTTATAATAATGTCATCAGTTCAGAATAATTTCATTTCAAAATTGGCATCCTGATCACTCAGAACCTCCTTAGAAAAAACACAAATAAACTCTGGATAGATCTTAGTATCTCCTCCATTAAGGAAAGTTAGTGTCTTTGATGTTTTAAAGAAAATCCATTAGAAATGTGCTTGTAAGTTCTCAAGTATGTCTAGAATATGACTGCAATAAAGTTACCTCTCCACATACATGGAGGAAATTTACATGGAAAACGATCAGAAATAGAAGATTTCAAAATGCCACTTACATTTACTTTCATGTGCACAATTTTATATTTGGGGTTTTATTATTTTTAATCTTAATTATAATTTGAAGATCAAAAATAAAGTTTTAATTCCTTGAACATTTTCTATTGGAATGCACTGTGATGAAAATTCTCAGCTATATGTACTCACAGGAAATATTAACATTTTAAAATACTATTTTCCTCTGGTTCTAGATATGTGCAAAGGTGCATGTGGCAGTATTGTTTTCAGTATCGAAAAATTTGGAAAAAACCTAGTATCAATCTGTGGGCCGATAAAATATTGAATATTTATAGGTTAGAGTACCATAGAGTGTTGAAATAAATAAACAGGATCTCTCCCTATATGTCCCATTTTTTCTATTGCTGTTGAGTCAATTCTGACTCATAGCAACCCTATAGGACAGAGAAGGTCTGCCATATAGAGTTTCCAAGGCTGTAAATCTTTACAGAAGCAGACTGCCACATCTTTTTCCCATGTAGTGGTTGTTGGGTTTGAACTGTTGATCTTCTGATTAGCCGCTGTGAGCTTTCAGTACTGTGTCACCAGGACACCATATATATATGGAGCGAGAGACAGAGAGCGAGAGAGAGAGAGAGAGAGAGAGAGAGAGGAGGGAGCACACAAATATATATACACGCACACACACACACACACACACACATATATAAAACTACAAAACCAAATTCACTACCGTTGAGTCGGTCCTGACCCATAGCAACCCCTCCTAGGGTTTTTGAGGCAGTCTCTGTGTGGAAGTAGATTGCCCAGTCTTCCTTTCAAGGAACATGTTGCTTATAAACCCACTGCCATCGAGTTGGGTCTGACTCATAGCGACCCCTCCTTGGGTTTCTGAGGCAGTATCACTACAGAAGTAGATTGCCTAACTCACCTTCCGAGGAGTGGCTGGTGGGTTTGAACCACCAGCCTTCTGGTTAGTAGTCAAATGCCTTAGGCTCTATGCCACCAGAGCTCCCTATGTTGCTTATAGATATATGTAAAATTACAAAGAATTGTAAATATTTTCCAATATCATGTTAATGGCCACTTCTGTTGTGGGATGAAGGAAAATGGATCTGATGATACTACAACTTTAATTTTTATTAATTTCAATAAAAATAAAAGTAAAAAAAAAAATACAGAATAATTTATAGGGACCAAGTAGCCTTTGTTGGGAAACATATTTTACCTTTGCTCTTCTATCCTTCAGATGTGCTCATTGGTAGAAAGCATTAACTATGAAATAAATTAAAAAACAGATAAGCCCACAATTAGTCCTCTCATCAGTAGGAACACACACAAGCACTTACATCCATAGATCTTAGCTTAGATTTCCCCAGAGAAAAACATTTGAA